TAAATAAAATTGCTTCGTCCGTGTTAAAATATATTTTAAAAAAATTACAAAACTAAACAGCCTACATTTACAGTCTTTATTTTACAGTTAAAATATGTTTATCAAATAAAGTTTAATGTTACAACTAATCGTGGATCCCTTTAATGATCACCTGCCTTGATTGGTGTGAACACACGGTCCCACATGAGGGGTGGGTTATAGCCCACCAGTGACAACAAGCCACAGGTTAGACTGGTGGGTGAGTGACGAGACGTCAACTCTCCGTGCAAAAAGTCAGAAATGATTTATTGATGTGACTCCTAAAATAGAAGAAACTGACAGAAACAGGTGTTCAGAAGTAAAGATACATCTACTTGAAATACAATGATTTTTTAGTTAAAGTTTGATTCAATTCCTCTGGTTTCCACTTTAATTCATGCTTTGACCCAACAGTGACATCTGGTGGAATTTGACAGTTTCAGCCTCAGAAACCTGTTTTAAATCAACACAAACTGAGATGTTGTTACACACCAGCTCTTTAAGATCCTAAAGCAAGTAAAAAAAATGCATTAAGTAACTACAAAAATTAATACTTCAAACTAAAAGAAACGTTACCGATAATTAGGATGAAAAGGTTCACAGCTGAACTCCACTATAGGACAGAAAAACATTTTAAAAAATCATTTACTTAAATGAACCAAATTAAAGTTTTACATAAAACTAATATCCCAAAAAGTTCAAATATTTTAACAAAATARAACCCCAAAATAATTCAATAGACTTTAAATGACTTCAGATTTTCCTTCAAGTTAATTTCTGATTAATTTGAAATATCTGAGACTCTGCATTGAGAAACAAACTTACACCTCTGTAAATTATCAAATGTAAGATAAAACCTATGAAAAATAAAACTTTGTTTCAGTCAAAAAGTTCTAATATATATATAAATTAATTTGCTTTCAAGTTGTTTTTTCCTTCTAGATCAGAACTTTTTTTTTGTTTGTTTCTTTAAAAAGGAACAGTGTGAAACATTTAGGTGTATCTTTTAGCAGAATTTAAGATAATCACTAATAAAAACGATTAAAAACACATTAAAAACTAAGAAGTCGGATTATTTTCACCTTAGAATWAGCTGTTTATATCTAAAGGGCATGGGGTCGACACTGGTTGAGGCCGCCATTTTGCACCACCATGTTTCTACAGTAGCTCGGAAAGGACAAACAAAAGGTTAGCCAAATCAAAAACCGTCATATTGTGATGACAAACTGGCCTCTGTCATCGCAGCTATGATAATTTTACATATCATATTTCCTAAATTTCTAATGAAATTCATCTTACCACTTGAAATATCACTATTTCTAAAGCTGCTACAGACATGGTGGTCGGGAGCTTTTACACACTGTTCCTTTAAATGATGTTTTCTCTGACTTAAAACTAAACAAAATCTGTTCTGAGGTTCTACAGTTGGATGAAGTCAGGCTGCAGACTGTCCTGCTTCCTGATTGGCTCCTTGTTACTGTGGACCACCTGGTGTACCTTCATGTGAACTTCTCTGGAGCGTTTCTCCTGGTAGCTTTTGCCGCATATTTGGCAGCTGTAGGGTTTCTCCCCGGTGTGCGTCAGCAGGTGTTTCTTCAGGTCAGTGTTGGTGACGAAGGCCTTCCAGCACAGGTGGCAGCTGAAGGCCCGCTCCTTCCTGTGGAAGCGGATGTGGGTCTGCAGGTATCCTTTGGTGCTGAAGCTCTTGCTGCAGAGGCTGCAGCTGAAGGGCTTCTCACCCGTGTGCGTCAGCATGTGAGCGTTGAGCCCGGCCAGCTGCCTGAAGGATTTCCCACAGACGCGGCAGAGGAACGGCTTCTCGCCCGTGTGGATCCTCTTGTGGACCTCCAGGACGTGGGCCGAGGCTAAACTCTTCCCGCAGGTCTCGCAGGAGACGCGGTTGACGGGTTTGTCTCCGGCGTGGTTCTTGATGTGCGTCGTCAGAGTGCAGCCGTCTGTGAACGTCTTCCCGCAGATCTCGCAGATGTACGGACGCTCCCCGCTGTGCGTTTTCTTGTGGCGCCGCAGAGCGCCGGGCCGCGGGAAAGATTTCCCACAGATGCTACAGTGATACGGTTTGACGCCGGTGTGACTTCGCATGTGGGTCTCAACGTTCTGGTAGTTTTTGCCACAGATGTGGCAAATGTTACCCGTTTCTTTGTGCGTCTGCAAATGGTCAGTCAGCGTCTCAGACGGCAGCAGATTTTCCCCACAGATTCCACAGGCCGAAGCCGACGAGTGGACCTTCACATGTTTCATCAGACTGGCTTTAGTTTGAAAAGTCTCCTCGCAGACTTTACAACAGGATGACGCCTGAGTCCTGATGTTTTGTGCCTCCGGTTCCAGGCTCGAACACTCTGATGGAGACTCCCTGTCGTTGCTGTCAGAAATCTCCACGGAGTCACTCCTCATGCRAGTCCTCAGAGTGCTGCCCTGCAGGAAGGCCTTACTGTGGATCCTCCTGTGTTGCCTGAGCGCTCCAGATCGGGGGAAGCGTTTGCCGCAAACCGTACAGCGGTACGGTTTCAACCCAGTGTGGAGCCGCATGTGAGTCTCCATGTTCTGGAAGCTCTTCCCACAGATGTTACACGTTCCACGAGTCTCTTTGTGACTCTGCAGGTGGTTCTGCAGACCGTCAGGCGAGTCGAGCTGCTCTCCACAAATGCCACACGTGTTTTTCGAGTCGTTGCAGTGGGTCTTTGCGTGCTTTCCCAAAAAGCCTAGACTGTAGAAGAAATCACCACAGACTTTGCAGCAGAAAGAGGACTTTTCACCGAGGGTTGAGTCAGCATTTGGATTCTGTTTCTGCATCCTATCCTCATCACTCCCCTCGCTCTGCTCTCCTTTTTTACTGTCGTGTATCTTCAGCTGGTGTTCAGGTTTACGAGTGTCAGGCATGTTTCTGATGTGGATCTTCTTGTGCCTCCTTAGCGCTCCATGCCGCGGGAAGCTCTTTCCACAGACGCCACAGCTGAACGGTTTGACGCCGGTGTGGCTCCGTTTGTGCGTCTCCATGTTCTGAAACGTCATCCCGCAGATCTCGCAGGTCCCTCTTGTGCTGAGGTTGTCCCTGTGTGAGCTAAGGTGATCTGACAAGCCTTCTGAAGATTCGAGGTGCTCGCCACAAACTCCACAGACGTGCTTCGAGTCGATGCAGTGCGTCTCTGCGTGTTTTCTCAAAAAGCTTAGACTGCAGAACAACTCACCACAGACTTTGCAGCAGAAAGAGGAGGACCTCTCACTGAGGGTTGATTCGGTGTTTGTCTTCTCTTTCAGCGCCTCGTCTTCATGTCTCCTCAGGTGCTCCTGAAGCAGATGGTTTTCAGTGAACACCTGTCCACAGGTCTGACAGGTGTCATGCTTCTTTCTGCTGTGGATCTTTCTGTGCCGCCTCAACGCCCCGTCTCGTGGGAAGCCCTTCCCGCAGACATCACAGCTGAACGGTCTCACTCCGGTGTGGCTCCTTTTATGCGTCTCCACGTTCTGGAACGACTTCCCGCAGATCTCGCAGGTCCCTCTTGTGCTGAGGTTGTCTCGGTGTGATCTAAGGTGATCTGACAAGCCTTTTGAAGACTCGAGACGCTGTYCACAGACTCCACAGAGGTGTTCTGGGGAGTCTGAGTGTGTCCTCACRTGTTTTACCAGATGACCTTTGTGACGGAAAGTTTTTTCACAGATTATACAGCGCTGATTTTCTGACTGTTCAGATGAGGCTGTTTGATCTCCTTCACCTGCTCCGTCAGTTTCACTATAACCTGAAGAGACGTTACTGCCCCTCCACTCCTCATCACTCTCAGCCGCGGCAACGTCTGACGAGGCGAAGCTGGGTGAACTCGATGGGAGGTGATTGGAGTCCAACACATTTTTATCACCACTGGTCGTCTTGAGATCTGAAGTGGTGACAGAATCTAAAATGAAGGTGAAAGTCATCAACTCAATAATAATAATAATAATAATAATAATAATAATAAAACATAACAGAGAATAATGAACCATAACATAAAACACATGACTGACATAAT